CATGCAGGAACATAAGATTTGGCCTAGAATCTAGTTAGGTAGGAGGCTTTTCGGACAATGATTGCCATCTTAGCTATTATATGATCCAGTTGTTGTAGACTGTGGGATACTTTGATAGTGCTGAGATGACTGGTTATGTTGTCATCATGGTTTTCATACATGCAGATGTTGTGTTTTTGAAAGATAGATTTTATTCCTATCCAAATGAATATAGTAGAGAGCTGTGTTATAACAAGGTTTGCTAAAGTAACATCAGAGGACTCTGGACAGGGAGAGTTTCTGGCCTTGTATTCCACTCCCTGACCCATCACAAACAAGCTTTAAAGTATATTTTCACCACTTTGAAATAAACACTACTTATGTGTGTTGACAGTTGGTTTTCTGAAGAACTACTGAAAGCATCCAAAGTAAGGCAAACATTCTGATGATCCTTTCAAACATGCATGTATTTAAATTCTTGTTAAACAATCTTCATCTTTGCAACTTCATAGGCTTTGATGACAAGCAGCAATCGACTGTTTATCAAAAACTAAGCAAGGAATGCTTAACAAGATAAAACTATACTCAGGCATATTCTTGGGCCTACTTAAAATTCTTCCTATGGAAGCGTTGATAGAGGGTGGAATATTTTACCAGAATAGGGAACTCCCAGTTTGGTAACCCCCTCCACCAATACAGGTCAACAATGTGTCTGTGAGAAGTGCCTGGGGGCATTGAGGGATTAAGTGACTCTCCAATGTCCACACACTATGTACCAGAGGCTAGACCTCTTCCTGACTCTAAGGTTGGCTTTTTATCCATTTCACACTTATTTTTCTAATCCAAATGATATTTCTTTAAAGTTGGAGGTGATAGAGTAACTAGCTCTTTAACCTTAATTTGCTATACTCAAGCATGCCAATGAATTTGTGATCTCATTTTTGTAGATGTTCCCTCCAGTTTCCGAATAGAAATCTATTAATGCGGGCCCATTCTAGAGTATGCCTTCTCATAAGTCTGCCACAGGGCATCCACCTGGGGGTCCTTCCTCACTTTGTCTTTACATTGTGAAGACTACTTTTTTGATAATGCATTTCTTTGGTAACATCCTTTATGCCATTTCTTCTTTGTCATTACTTACCTGTTTTGTGTTACAGCCTGTTCACACTCACCATGCATCTTTTCAGTCTTCTCTGAGTGATACTTAATTATAATTCTTCAGAGACCATAGTGTTCCATGATTTGTGGCCATATAGCAACAAAGGTAGAATATTGATATTAAAAACCTAAACCTTCACTTCAGAAGGTAGTTTGTGGTTATTAAAGGAACTCTAATTTCCCATAGGTAATTCAACCTCTTCACTTTCTTGTGTTTGGTTATAGGCCCCATTCTTTGTTCATTTGCAGGGGATTTTTTAAATATATATACTGAAAGATGAACTCTATAGGTTGGCACTCTCATATCTCTATAATGTACAATAGGCATTTTTCTTCTCCTTGGTTTCTACTATGACAATGGTTAGGCCAAAATCTTTTGAGTAATTATAGGTTTGATCTAGGAGACTCAGCAATATTTCAGGGCTAAATGCAACCAGCGTAATGTTATCCAAAAACAAGAACATCTGGAAGACCTTACCAACTACAGTAAAGTACATTTTCCTCTATCGAATCAAGAGCTTCTTTTGTACTTTACAAATAATGAGCTCAGTGTGGTCTTATATCTATACATCTTTCAGTTGTGTAGTGGTAAAGATGTATAGTAATGTCACCTGTGAAAGCATGCCTGTCCCCTACTGATACTCTCATAAAGGATACTCTTGGTATATTATTCTTATAAAAATTCCATGTACCAAGAAAGTAAGCATGTAGGATGACAGGTGTTGATATTCTTATAGTTACTTTTTTTGTTGTTAATAAGGTCTCAGATTTTTCCAAGCCTCTTTCAGATGCTTTGCAACTCCATCCCTTAATGCCTTCATGATTGTGTTATCTTTACCATGGATCTCTTCTATATATATTTGGTCTGATCTAGCTCCTTTCCCCATCTTTGTTTATTTTAATGCCATTTCTGCCTCCTCTTAAAACATATCTGGAATTGGGATGCTAAAATCTAAGGATAGTGGCTCCACTTTTCTTCATGGTAAAAAGAGTTTGTTATAGAAAATTTTGCAGATCTTTTCCATCTTTCATTTGTGTGTTGTTGCTCTTCCTGTTTCATCCTTAAATGCTTTGAGGATGACCTTGCTTAGGTAGATCTCCCACCAAGGTTTCTTTAAACTAGTTTTACCCTCAGTTGTTTCGGTTTTATGAGGACATATTGCTTAATATTCTCCCATCTTTCTTCTCTATAAGTTTTTACAGGTGAGTTTACATTTTAAGCCACCATTGTTCTTGATTGTCATACATCTCTGCTTCGTTCATCTCCTCATTATACCAATTTATACTAATTTAAGTTTTTATATACTTATTATAATTGATGGCTAGTCCATTTTTTCCCCATCAATATCTCATATTTTATCACCAGTAACTTGCTCAAATATGTAAGGTTAAAGTTTTTTTTAATTACATGCCTTAAATTACAATCTTAGCTCTAAAAAGTTGGTAGTTTGACTTTGCAGAGACAGCTATTTAATGAACAATTTTTGTCTTAGTACCAAGCTATTTCTTATCTATTATATACAATCAATTTTATTTTTTGCTTATGTGATTATTATTTGGTGCTTGCCATATCCAGGGTCTTCTAGATTTTTTTGAAGAATATAGCCATGATATGTAGGCATAAGGACTCTATGTAGTCTATAGGTCTTTGGCCTAATTAATTTCTTATTCTTGATCCAACTTATCTGACTTTCATCAACTCCTGTATCTTCAGCTACAGAAGGCCTACTGATTTCACCTTTGCAGCATCTCTCTAATATGCCTCTTTCTCTCTAATTCTGACACCATCCTGGTACAGACCCTCAACACCTCACTCTTGGACAACTGCAAGAGCCTGCTGGAAGTCTGCTTGCCTTAAATTCCTCCCCATTCCAATCTATCCTCTATTCAGTTGCCGAAGTGATTTTCTTAAAGTGATGACCATGTCACAACTCGGTAAACTCCAGTAGCTCCCTATCGACTTCGGGATAAAAAGTATAAAATCTTCTGTTTAGCATTCAAAGCCTTTCATAACCCACCACCCTCACCCAGCCCATCTTTCCATCTTCTTACATTTTTTACCCTACCATATGTTCTTCAAATCAGTGACACTTCTTCCCTCACTATTCTGTGAGCGAGACATTTCATCTCTCAACTCTAGGAATTTTTTCCGACTGTCCCCCATGCTTGCAATGTTCTCCCTCCTCACCTCCTCCTCTTGACTTCCTTCAAATTCCAACTAAAAATCACACCTTCTACAGGAAGCCTTTCCCAACCTCTAGTGCCTTCCCCCTTTTAATTATTTCCTATTTATCCTGTATGTTGTTGTTTGTACATATTTATTTGCTTATTGTCTCCCCCATTAGATTGTGAGCTCCTTGAGAACAGGGCCTATCTTCCAATTGTTTTGTATCCCCAGTAATTAGCATATTTCCTGGCACATAATAGGTACTTAATAAATGCTAATTGACTGACTGACAGTTCTTATGTACACAGTAATTATTTTCATTGTTGTCTTCTTGCAAATGCTTATGAGTGAGCAATGTTATACCAGATAAAAAATATCCCCTGAAATAGTCCCTGTAGATATGTGATAAACCAATTTCACCAAATGCTTTATTTTTTCAAAAGGAGGACCTCTGAGCCATCCTTCCATTTTGCTATGGTATTCTTATATTTAGAGTACTAGTAGCTAAGTTTAAGTTTATAGATGGTTTAAAAACTGTATGACTTAACATCACTTGCCACTTTTCCCACTGTTCTGACACCATTCCCACAAAGTGGAAAGTGAACATACGTAGGAGCGTGCTGAAAAAAATACAGAAGGATGCATTTTTACATTTAATCTTCATTAACATTTTCTTGATCAATTTTTTAAGTTTAGAAATCAACAAAATAGTAAATCAGGCCCTGATTTGTAGCTTTCTGAGTTATAAATTCTCACAATGAAAACTTAATAATTGGCTGTCTCCCAGCTGGTAGGAGCTGATTCCAGCACATCCCTTTTTGTAAGTATCTCATTGTAAGCATTATATAAATGGCAGCCATTATGACAATGATGATTTGTCTATAGTCCTATCCATTGCTTCTTACCCACTATCAGGAATCAGACTGTGCTACTGATTTTCAACAAGATTAACTGAACCTTTAATATCCATTATACTTCTGGACCAGTTTTTCTACTTTTTCTAATCTTCATATGTATCAGTAGGTAGAATGTAACAGGGAATCAGGTAGTTTAGAGCAGAGAAAATATTGGAGACATAGGAAAATAAGAATGAATAACTTGAATTTTAGGATTAGAGAGATGGTAAAGGTGCTAAACCTAATAAACGATGGTGAGAGTAACCATGATGGTTACTGTATTTTGCCTTTCTATGAACAACTTTTGCAGCAAAGAGAGAGAACACTAATTCTTCCAAAGGTATTAATAAATGACCAGTTCTACTCATTATGCCTTGAATACAATGGGTATCATTTAAAGAATCCAATTAGTAAAAAGGAATCCTGGATAAAGTCAGTGGCTAATGCTCAATTTAGTTGCTAAACATTTTAACATGAAGATTCACCTCTACCTCTGAAGTTGGGCATCAAGTTCATGAGACAGATAAACACAGATAGGTAAAAGGGGGCATTGGTGGCTGATAATGGTACCAGTAGCTATCAGCAACCAAATGTTGCATGTTAGATCTAATCAAAGAATCATTTCATAAGGTCCTTCAACAAAGCTTGTCCTGTATTAGTACTCAAGCAGGCTACACTGGAAAATTTTGGATCAGATGATTAAGAAGCTTCTTGTCTCAGAGAATTTAGCTAAGACCTACTCATTTGAGAGAATTTTAAGACATGTCCCTCCTACTTCCCCACAAATACTTGCAACTTACTTAGTTAAATGTCCAAACAGGATTTTCATTGTGTCACGATTTGGTGGAGGAAGCTTTTGTACCAGAGTCTTTATTGCTTCAATTCTCATGTTATTGTCTTGTTTTTCTGGTGGAGGAAAAAAAAAAGCAGAGGAGAAAGCTAGATAAAAACAGAATTTTTTCTTGCTGTAGGTTTAACCAGAGTGTTAGCATATAGAAGCCTTGTGAAAGAGAGTATGTGGATAGATCTATCAAAGCTTTCCCAGAATTTCTCTTTAATCAGATTGGAGAGGGGATCATGATAACTTGAAAATACCACAGTATGTTCTAAGTCATATCTTCTAACTCGTGAAGCAAACAGGGAATTAAGTTGTTTTTTTCAAATTTATGCTCATTTTTACAAAGACACAGTTAGATACAAGTACAAGTATTCTATGATTTATGTGGCTTTGAGTGACATCAAACAGCTCAAAGAATCTGTGACTCCATTTATTTTTCTCCCTGGTATTTTTATGTATTCTTTCTTCTTTAACAGTATAAAGTTCTGCTGGAAAAAAAAACTGAGTTAAAAATTAAATATTCTTTGAAGTAGGAGATTTGGTAAGAAACATTTTAAAAATAGTATATTTTTTTCAAAAACAGTATTGTAATTCTTTCTAGTGAATTAATTTTACCTCTATATTAATGGGATAATATTCCACTATTATTTGTTGACTATATATATTCCCTGTTCCTTTTATACTTTTTTTCTCATTCTTTTGAGCATAGAATTATTCTTGACTCTGAAGAGAGTGATATTTGCTTATAATAAAATATATGCAAGAGAGTGAAGTAGATAAGGAGGATAATTCACAGTCCTTTGTTAATATTAGCTAGTTAGCATTAATTCTTCTACCATGCTAACATGGTCCTGGGCACAATCTAGATGATAAACAGATACTTAATGATTGATTAATTTCACCAGAGGGCAAAGTTGATCAGTGCAAAAGATATCTAGACCCTGTAACTCAATGCCTAAAAATGAAGTATGATGTGTGATAGGTCTATTTAAACTTCAAAAGAAATGTGCCTAGAGTCATAGTATTTAGAGTTGACATAATCTATTTTACAGATAAGGAAATGAAGACACGGAGATGTTAAGGGACTCACCCAAAGTCACACAATTAACAAGTAACAGCTGACATTTGAACCTTACCTCTCCCAAATCCACTGTGTCCCCCAGTATACTATGCTGTCTAGCTGAAAGTATATTTTGAAAAAGTATATTTGACTCTCCTTTGAGTGATTTATTTTTTACTTTCACCCATACTTGACAAAGTGGATAGCAGACATGATAACAAAATTAGATATGATATAGTCAATCAATCAAAAGCCTATTATGTGCCAGTGGTAGGGGCTGGGGTTTGAAGAAGAAATTGAAATAGCCTTTGCCTTCAAGGAGTTTACATTCTGTTTAGGAAAACATCATACTGTTGATGTTTAGTCATTTTTAGTAGTGTCTGACTCTTTGGGGTTTTGGAATTTGGGTTTTTTTTGGCAAAGATGATGGAGTAATTTGCAATTTCCTTCACCAGCTCATTTTACAGATGAGTTAACTGACTTGCTCAGGGTCACACAGCTAGTAAATCTCAGAGGCCAGATTTGAACTCATGAAGATGAGTCTTCCTGACTTTGGTCCTCGTACTCTATCCATTTTGCTACCTAGTTGTCCAGGAGACCAATTAGGACACCTATCAAAATAATCTAGGTGAGAGATAAGTGCCTGAACAAGTGTGGTGGCAATGGAAATAGAGAGGATGGGACATATGGGAGAGATATGGAGGAGAGAGAATTAATAAGATTTAGCAAGTGATTGGCTATGGGGTGAGGCAGAAAAGATAACTTCATATTTCAAAGCTAGAGGACTAGAAGAAAGATAGTACCTTCAATGAAATAAATAAGTTTGGAAGAGGGTGAGTTTTGGTGGAAAGAAAACGTTAAGTTTTAAAGGCCTATGGGATATATGGTGAGAAATGCTGAACAGAATTTGGTGATGTAGTACTGGAATTTGGGAAAGATCATTTAATATATGAATCATATACATAGAGGTGATCATTGAACTCATAGGAGTTGATAAGATCACCTACAAAGGTTATTGAGAGACAAAAGAAGGCTGCCCAGGCTTAGTGCATGCTTGCTATTGGAGGGGCAGGAGTTGGACAATGATCCAATAAAAATGACTGAAAAGGAGGGACCAGATAGGTCAGATCAGCATCAAGAGAGCATAATGTCAGGAAAACCAAGAGAGAAGAGAGTCACCATCTAGAAGAAAGGGATTAACAGTGTCAAATTCTGCAGAAAGACAATGAGGGTTGAGATAATATTCATTTGATTTTGCTGTTAGAAAACAGTGGTAATTTTGAAGAAAGTAGTTCTCATTGAGTGATAAAGTTGGAAGACATCATAAGGAGCTGAGGTTTGAATAAAAGAAGAGGAAATGGTGTCAGCTATCATAAGTATAGATAGACTTTTGGAGCTGAAAAGTAACTTAGAAATAATTTCATCTGAAGCTGTCATTTTAAAGATGAGGAAACTGAGGCACAAATAAATTATCTTACCCAATATCTCACAGTTAATTTGTTTTTAAGCACTTGAGTTGTGCAGAAAAGCACCAGTGTCTGAATTAGGGAGAAAATAAATATTGAGGATGATTGAGTTTTCTAAAGAATAATACTAAAAAAAAGTCCCCTCTCCAAAACCTTATGGGAACATAGCAGTGTCCTATTCAGATCAATACCACACGTCTTTTTTTTTTTTTTTGTAGCTGGGCAAATCTGGAAACAACACATTTTGAGGTATGTGGTGAAAAACTTAAAAAAAATAAAAGTGAGTTCAGTAAAAAGTGAAATGACACCTTTAAACATCAGCTTTATGGATGTGTCCTAATAGAATTTGGAATCAGCATTTAAAATCCTGAGTGGTTAATGATCTAAGATCAATACACAACTTATAAAAATGTTCTAGCTGTCCCAAATTGAATCTGAAAGAGAACTTCTTCTTCTTCTTCTTCTTCTTCTTCTTCTTCTTCTCTTCTTCTTCTTCTTCTTCTTCTTCAATTAATATCTTCCTTTCAGCATATGGTTTTTCAGTTTGCAAAGTTTTGGGAGTTTTGAGAAGATGAACAGACCTCTGACTTGCTTATATTATGACTGTTTGGGAGGAAATCAGTGCTTAATGGAATACTGGAGCATTGGAGGTAGATTGGATGCTCACAGGCTCTCACCTAAGTATCTCTTTTCTTTCAATTAACAACAGATTCCATAATTCTTTTGTCTGTAATCCATCTGTGGTTCCACCCTCAGTTCCTTAGGATTCAGTATTGTTTCCCATTATCCAGAGACCAATTTTATTGTTTTTTGTTTTTGTTTTGTTTGTTTGTTTCCTTCTACAAAGTGCCCAGTCTCTGGGACAACCTCATTCTGTAGGACTTTATGTTGGCTAAAGCTTTCATTTCACCCATAAGCTTTGTTTCAAAAACTGTGATTCCCCAAAAAACCCTCTCTCAACCCTGAGTACAATGTGGTAAATACATGAGCAATAGAAACAACCTCTGTTGAGTGAAATGGCAAGTAATAAGATAATATTGGTAATAAGACAGGAATGTGACTAGATTTGGGATGTTGGACTGGCCTTAAGAGTTTTCCTTTGATTCATGGTTTCCAGGACATAATTTTAGAAATATGGTTTATGATGGTTACATTTGCATTTATCTGCATGAAATGTCACTACTAAAACAAGGACATTTATAACTGGGTTCCTATTTGAGAAGAGATAAGATAAAGTTTCACTGAATATGACGAAGGGAAATGTCTGATAAAATAAAGGACCTTGGGCCAGATGACCCATGAACTTTTCTGGCACTACCATTTATAACTTTATTATTATTAGCTTATTTATAGCTACAACAAATCATTGTTCATGATGCATTCTGCTTTGATATCTGTCCCCACACAAATTGAGAAAAGACTAACTCCTTGTAGAAATTAGCGTTTGGGGAGTTTTATTCATTCTCTATATTTGAAGTTGTGTTTTTTTTTTTGGTGAGACCATTGAGATTAAGTGACTTGCCCAGAGTCATACAGCTAGTGAATGTTATGTGTCTGAGGTCGAATTTGAACTCAGGTCCTCCTGACTCCAGGGCCAGTGCTCTATTCACTGCACCCACCTAGCTGCCCATGTATCTAAAGTTCTTAAAAGAGAACTATTTCATTTTATTAAGATTGGAGTTAACATTCTAGCCATTCTGTCTCTCAAGGTTATTTTGTGCAATTCATGTATTATGTGGATAAAACAAGGTCACATGTAGAGCAGGTCTATGTTTGAAAAGAACAGCCCTCTTTGCCCTGTGAAGTTTTATTTCTCCTTAGTACACATAACACCCAAAGTTAAGGAAGCAGGAGCTTTGGTTGGTCATTCCTGGATCCAGTTATGAAGTGGTGTCTCATTTTGAGGGAGTGAAAATGGGTGCCTAAATCCACCACATGGGCATGCTTTAATACTTGCAGTATCTTTCAAATAGGGAAGAACCCTCTGGGGTTTTGCTGCTCAATTAAAATTGTGGTGGGTGGTTATGGCTCATCTTCATAGGTTATAGAAATGGCTGCTTAAAAAAAAAGCACAAAACTTCACAACAGCTTAAATTTAGTTTGTGTAAAGAGATAATCTGGAACAAATTCATATCTAGTCTACATATGTATATAAACCCAGATTTTTGTACTTTTAAAGCTGGGGGTATTGTACAGACTATTTTTTGAGCTTCCTATTCTGCCCTACTGACACCTGTTTGCTTGCAGTTTCAGGCTGTCTTCAAAATAACATTAAGCCATAAATTTCCCTCCCTAGTGCCATTCCCTGAAAGCAGCAGCAGCCTACAGTATGTGATGGTTTTGTAAATATATAGAAAGTCATTAATTATCAATGGAGTGTTTTGTTAAAATTCAAAAGTAGGTACGTCGTAAATAGAGATGTCATGTTATTATAAACAAAGAAAAATCATGGGCTTTATGCTAACCCATAAGTTGCCACTTTGCAATTTTTCAACAGATTTTTTTTCCTGCAAAACTGAAAGGCCATGCTTTATGTTGAATT